AGTACCACTACCAGTACTAGTGCCTTGTTGCAATTTAGCTGTACCATAATCTCCTACTTTAGCTTCATAACCAGCAGCTCCAGTGCAAGGCTTTAATAATACGTTAGGACTGCTCACATCTCTGTGAATAATAGGCTGAGGCTTAAACAGGTGAAGGTAGTTGAGGCCTAAAGCTACATCTTGAGCAATACTCACAATCTGTTGAGTGCTTAACTCAGTCTCCTGAAGCCTTTTATAAAGACTAGTCCTCATCAGCTCAGTCAAGATGAGAGGTTTACCCACTTTAGTTGCACCAATAAACTGGACCAGGTTAGGATGACGTACTCGTGATGCTATACTCATTTCCCTGGAGAAGAGACCTCGATTGTAATTTGAGATAATGAGAGTATGAAGTGACTTGACAGCTACTCTTAAACCTCTAAAGATACCAACTGTAACGACACCATAAGATCCTCTTCCTAACTCCTCCTCTGTCAAAGTCACCTCATCTTTATTAATAACCCAGTGATCATCAGTAAGTGCTTGTTGCTGGTACCTACGAACTGCCTCTTGAGACTGACGTAGCTCCCTATCCTTCTCTTGTAGCTGATAACGATATCTTCTTATTTCTTGATCTTTCTCTGCTTCTTCTCTTTCCTTCTGCTCCAATTGTTGATGATAAACTTGTGCTTCTCTCTTCTTCTCTTCAAGACTCTTCATAAGAGCTTGTACGGTTTGCTCAATATTGGCTGTATCTCCTTTTCTTGGTTTCTGGTACTCCTCCAACCATATTCTTCTTCTTGTCTGTAATTGCTGCTGATACTTCTTCTTGTATTCTTCATAATTCATACCATTGGTATCTAATGTATCACTTACTGTCCACTCTCCTTTACTGTTAGTAGTAACTAAAATACAATATTAATAATAATTTTAATTAGAGGGTGTGGATCTAATGCAACATAAAGTTCGTCAAAGGAAACAACTTATAATTAGGTAATTAATAGTATTCATTAGTGGGTGTGGCTAATACACTGACCTAGTTCAGTTAGCATAACAATGTTAGGATTAGTGACTAATGTCAATCTCTTATCAACGCTTCCTCCAGCAGTTATCATCCAGACACAATGAGGACTCATAATGAACACTGAGAGAGAATGAGACCTTCTCTTATTAACAGAGTGAGGTACAGCTAACTGTTAATAGAAATAAATTAATAATTTACATGTATCTCACTGTACAGATCAATTATTAATAATATCTAACATACCTTTATCCAGGAATATTGAGTGATGTTGAAGATCCAACAATCATGTAATGTATCAGCATTCTTATCCAACCCACCACTTATCACTAGCATAGGACAGTCTGATCCAGTTATAATAATAGCACCAGCATGAAACCATCTACCCACAGGCCATTGGTCTATTGCTTCAGGTTTCTTTATATACTGCCAAAACTAAAATAAAATAACCACACCCATTAAAAATGACGTGTGTGTGTGTGTGTGTGTGTGTGTGTGTGTGTGTGTGTGTGTGTGTGTGTGTGTGTGTGTGTGTGTGTGTGTGTGTGTGTGTGTGTGTGTGTGTGTGTGTGTGTGTGTGTGTGTGTGTGCATGTGTGTGTGCATACATTCAGTACACATAATTTAACATACCACAGTGCTGATTGATATCTCTAATATATAAATATTGTTAGTTCTAGTATCCTTAGCATCATCATCAGTCTCTACTCCACCAAACAGAACAGCTCTAGTGTTGTTAATCATTTCAATGACGAAGCTACTAGCAGGTGGTATACACTGACCAATGATTGAAGGATTATTCCATTTTCCTAAATTATTATTATCAACATAATTTCAAACAGTAATATAAAATCTTACTTGATGATTGATTATACATTGAGTGCTCATTAGTACGCCAGTTTCCATCAGATAACTCAATATATTTATAATGAGGTAGTTGTACAGCTGGTTTAGATCCCATTCCTCCTATCATTAGTAAATGGTGTACTCCATCATGTTCAAATGATATCATTCCACCACCACCTCTCCTCATAACTCGTCTAGTTGCATCAGTTGGTTCTAATTCTCTCCATTGAAGACTAACGGTATCCAGTTGTGTAATACTGTTGTGATAGCAGTCACCATGGCCACAATAGCCCCCGAAATAATACAATTGATCATTTATTGCAGTACAGCAGTATGCTCTCACTCCTAATGGAGGAGTACCAGTAGTACCTCTAGTGATCCATTGACCAGTTGAAGGAGTAAAGTGCCGTATATTACTAGTGATCCTTCTCTTCTCTACACTATCATGTACTCCAGGTAAACCGTCCTGAGCACCACCCCACACATACAGTGAATCACCTACTGATACAGTGCAGTGAAAGGCTCTTCCCTTCAGTTGATCTATATATCAATGATTGACAGTACATAATACTGGAATAGTAACAATAGGACTTACTTGTAGATGTCATAGCCACTGCTACGCACAGCCGACTGAGCCCGTGAGCCCAGGGCACACTGCACTGCACTGCACAGCAGTGGCTACTTCACTTGTCTGGATCATGTGACATACCAAATTGGGTGGAGCTTATTATTAATTTTTGGAGAGCAAAAACATTATGATTATCTAAACAAAAATATATTCAGGAAAACAATAATAATTACTACACTTAAGTACTGTACATGCATACATGTGGATCTATAGTCTAATGTTATTTCTAATTTGCTATTCCATTGTCATTTTTGGTTTCTTTGTTTCCTTTGAGTCCTTCCCAATCATCATCTTCACCCAGACATCAGAGACCTTCCTGTCAGCTTTAGTCACTCCACTGAAGTCCACAGTCTGCAGCTGTGGTATGTGAGTCACAATGTACTGCCTGTAGCCGGAAACTGATTCTATTGGGTTCCCATGAAGACTTAGAGATTTAAGTCTTGTTAGTGCTACAAGTTTATCCACCTCTTTAAGTCTTTTAATGTTATTACCATGTAGATATATCATTGTTAAGTTTGGGAGTTGGAGGAGTGCCTGTAGAAAAGAAGAAAGTGGATGAAACAGTAGTGAAAAACTAAAAATTTAGTGACACACAATCCATTGCAGGATTTCCCACAGGATCAATAATTTTTATACCTCATCGATTGTTTTTAAGTCATTGAATGACAGATCAAGCCATTGTAAGTGTTGATGTGGTTCAATTATCATTTGATCCAGTGTTTCAATAAATCCTTCCCAACTGGCCAGCATGTTATTATTAACTCTCAAAGCAGTAGCTTTAACTGCCTCCAGTGGACTGGCTTCATCATCATCTGCTAAATCATACTATAGTAAAGAATAAAGATAATGTTACGACCTGGAATGATAAAGAGAGGGCACTGAAATATAAAGATACATGTAGAAGTATGCAATATGTTGATTCATGCTCAAATAATGAAAACACTGGGACTTTTACAGGACTAAAACTTCTTAGTTTCTCAAGGCTCTTATTGATGTTGTGATTGACACAGAATTAGATTCAAGAGAGGAGGATTGGATAAAAACTGATACAAAATTAATGATTGGTACTTGCCACTGCTTTGCTGTCTCTTGATCTTGACTTCTCCTTCAGTATATCTAAAAGCAACACCAACAAACAAGTGAAAAAAGTTGAAAAAACTCCTTTACAACCTGCATTATCTTACCAGAGAAAACTGATACTGCCTTAAACGAATAGTCCAGTGGATAAATGATCTCTTTGTGTGAGTCAAGGAGAGAGGTTGGCTCTTTCGTCTCGCTTTGCTCTTTTCGTCTTTTGGCTACAGCGGCAGCCATCTTGTTACCCGTCGCTATAGCAACAATACAAGACCACGCCTTATTTGAGCCACCCACGCATTCTAAAGGTGTGGCTGACCTTTTGCAAAGCAAGCTAGCTGCAAGCATGCAAAAAATGAGCAACATTATGTCTATCCTTTTACTTTCTCTTTTAGCAGCACAAGTCTATGCTAATGCTGGTCCACTGCCTCCATTTAACCTCCAATGTGAGAGGAACTTGGTTGGACTGGGAGACAAAGAGATGAAAAGTCTTGGAAACAGACATCACTTTGCAACTGAGAATCCTAACCCTCTCTTATCATGGAGTATATCTCACAGTGAGAGGGGAGAGGTCCAGACTGGATTTAAAGTGATTGTGAGCAAAAAGGCTGACTTCTCTAATATTATTTGGGAGGGTCGACCTGAGGCAGGAAAAGAAGGAGAACAAGAGATCAGGTATGATGGACCACCGCTTGTTGGAGGTGACGTATACCTCTGGAAGGTAACATGGTGGGATAGCAAAGGTGCTTCAGTTACCAGTAAAGAGATTGGGCACTTTATGGCAGTCACACTGACAGATGAAGATTGGAGCAACGCAAAATGGATAGCACCTCCAAAAATGACTACTGCACCAACTTACGTGAAGGAAGTCTCCACTGACAATAAGCCAGTGAGTAAGGCAACCCTCTATATATCTGGATTAGGGTTTTTCAGAGCTTACATCAATGGAGCAGATCTCAATAGAAGAGCTGACCCACCCATAGCTCTTAATCCAGGCTGGACTAACTATGAAATGAGAGCTGCTTACATGGCCTTTGATATAACTCAGTTAATGACTACAAGCCAGAACGAAATAAAAATAGCACTGGGAGAAGGATGGAGAAATATTTCACAGTTTCCACCACACGATTCATTCCCTAAAACAGACAGCAGTCCTTATGTCCTGAGACTTATACTGACTATAATCCTAAAAGATACTTCGTCAACAAAAATGGCAATATACAGCGATGGCTCTTGGGACGTCCAGACATCAAGCATACAAGATAATTCCATTTATAACGGAGAGTTCTATGATGCTACCACTACACCCACTGTCATTGGTAAAGCAGTTGAGACTACTGGTCCCTCTGGAGTTATGTATCTACCTTCAATGCCCTACATAGCTGAGGTTGAGTCTGATAAACCAGTATCTATCACACCTGATCCTCATAGCAGTGATGACCACAGTAAGCAAGTTATAGACTTTGGTTTAAATGCAGCTGGAGTGATACGTATTAATGTGGCAGATGTACCTAAAGGACAATCTTTCACTATGAATCATGCTGAGATATTGACCCATCCACCTTATGGGCCTAAAGATGGATCACTTTACTATGATAACTTGCGTGATGCTCATCCATTGGACTACTATACATCAAGTGGAAGTGAAAAAACCTTCCAACCAGTCTTCACTTATCATGGATTCCGATATGCTCTAGTTTCTGGTTTTCCACGTAAACTAATGACAGACGATCTCTCAAAGATTCACATACACACTTATCTCAAGCCTAACAGCAACTTCTCAACCTCAAGTCAAATCCTCAATAACATTCAGCTCAATGTCATCAGGGGCCAGCTCTCAAATCTAATGAGTGTTCCGACTGATTGTGATCAAAGAAACGAGAGATTAGGTTGGATGGGTGATGCAGGTCTCTCTGCTGATGGAATGGCTCTTAATTTTCACATGGAGAGTTTCTTTCCTCACCGAACAATGCTAATGAGAGATGAGCAAATGAATGGGTCAGTCCCTGATGTAGTTCCTTTCTATCATGGTGGTGGGCGACCTTCAGACCCATCTTGGGGAGCTGCGTATCCACAGACAGTGTGGGTACTCTGGAAGTATTACGGTGATACCAGCACTGCTAAAGCCTACTACGAAGGATTACTTGAGTACATTAACTTTGTCGAGTCTCAGGTTCCATCACAAGGGATTGCAAAGCTAGCTGGTCGATATGGTGATTGGGTTCCACCTCCTCCAAGTAAAAAAATCAACAACAATTATCCATCTGCTTTTAGCTTCATGCAAAACATACAGCAAGTAGCAGAAATGGCTGACGCATTGGGTGACACTGCTAATGCTACTAAATTAAAAGCACTATTCTCAAAACATGCTGATGAATTCAACAAAGCATTCTATTCTAATTACCAGTACCTTGATGACATGCAGATAAGCTATGCACTGCCATTTGTCCTAGGCATAGTACCAGAAGCAGACAAAGACAAAGTAGCTGCTAATTTCATTCATAAAATAACAGACACTGATAAGAGTCACGTTACATCTGGTATAGTGGGTGTCAAAGCTCTGCTACCAGCACTATCTCAATTGAAACAACATGATCTAGCAGTCACTATGGCAAGTCAAATAGATTACCCAAGCTGGGGGTACATGATTCACAATACTGATGAACCAGCTACTACAATATGGGAGCTATGGAATGCTAACACTGCTGGCCCTGGCATGAACTCTCGCAATCATCACATGTTTTCAAGTGTTAGCTCATGGCTGCAAACAGATATGATTGGACTCAAACAAAGAAAGGATAGTATTGGCTTTAAAGCTATTGAGCTCCATCCTGCTCAATCACTTGATATAGCGAAGGCAAGTATACAGTTAGAGCATCCAAAGCCTATACACTATTCATGGCATAGGCAAGGCGGGCTGCAGTGTGGTAAGACAGCTGAAGAGAAGACATCACTTACAAAAGGTCTGAGTATTTCCTGTGGAGAGGGTACTATAACAAAGATCTCATTCGCTTCTTTTGGAAACCCAGAGGGAACATGTGGATATCATCGTATTGGTAGCTGTCATTATCCTCAGAGCAACAAAATTGTTGAACATTATTGCCTTAATAAAACTGAATGTACAATACCAACTGGTGCTGCTCATTGGTACAGTGATGGTGATCTTTGTCCTGATATTCCAGTCAAGTGGCTCACAGTAGCTGTAGTATGCACAACATCAGAAGAAATACCAACTTACAGCTACTCATCACTGACTGTTAATGCAAACATACCAATTGGGAGTACAGCTAAGCTTCATGTACCTGCTTATGGCTTGAGTAACATGAAGATCTATGATGCCAATGAATTAATATACACAGACAATCGCCTCCTTTCATCAACTGGAGGAATAGAAACAGTTCAATGGAACAGCATTAGAAACACACTAGAGGTATCACTAGTATCTGGATATTATGAATTACGAGTGAAGGGATCTCCTTCACAAGAAACAAAGAGAATTACTAGCAGTTCTAATGCAACACTCTCATGCTCTAAAGGTCGTCGTATCACAAACATTGATTGGGTATCTTATGGTAATCCAACCGTGGATGGAGATGATGGTAGTCTTTCATTGGGTAGCTGTCATTCTGGTGCCAGTCGCTACATCATTGAGAGCAAGTGTCTTGGTAAGGAGAGGTGCTACCTGTCATCACTGGAGCAGTCTTTTGGATTCATATCTTGTTCTAAGCTAGTTGAAGAGATGAAGATTGCTGTTCAATATTCTTGTAATAACCATACCTAATGTGCAACTGTGCATGATATTACTGGCTAATATCATGCTATTTGCTATTTGCTGAATGCTATAGCTGCCATAAATACTATCTGCTATTGCAATTTTTTTATATAAAGATTTCACAACAAAATAGTAGAGATAATAAACTAATAATTAATACACACATGTATGTACCATGATATGGTAGTTAAGATGTACAGAACACTTGTAATCTGTTCTTTTCCAATGATACATCGAGTGGTACAGCTTCAAATGGCTCACCATCCACACTATACCAGTACTGAGGGATCAAACCAGCATCACCAGTACTAGAATCAGTTTTACTAGTAGTGCTAGTATTAGTGGATGGTCTAATGTTGAAGTCATTTGAAGAGATTGATTCTGTGGAAAGACCATTTCCCAAGTTAGTGGCCTTCTTCTTTGCAAAACTTCTGTAAAATCTTTAAAAAAAGAAATAAAATTTAAATTTTAGGTTAAGAATTCCTTTTCCCTAGCTTGCTCTCTCTTTCTGGGCCCAGCAGTCTTACCCTTGTTTTATAAAAGCTGATTTTTTAGTTAATTCTGAAGGCAGCCATGATAGTACTAAGAATCCTTCTCTCTCTTCCTCAATATTAAATCCAACTATGTCAACACTTCTTCTTAGAGGAGCAACAGGAGGAGAAATGGCAGCTTTATTCTCTCCTTTCTCTCTTTCTGTTATATTCAATATGAAACCCATTGGCCATTTCTATAGATAAAAAGAGAATTTAATGTACATGTACATACACTGTAATAAAGTATAACATTATACATGTTGTATAGAAAGTTTAAGCTAATTCCAATCAAGTTTGGATTTTTTACAAACTTTTAAAGTTGCTAAGAAATTGAGGAAATTACTAATAGCAATGCAATACTGTATAGGAGGAAGTTTTCATTGCCAGAAAATTTGACAAATGTGTATCTGTATCTATATATGGATGACATAGATATACTACTAAAGGATGTTGCAATTAAATGGTTACAATAACTAGTCATGCATTTAACAGTCAAACATTAAAATATGAATGCAATGAATCAGTATATTAACAATAGTATAAACAAAGTTTATAATTTTAATCCACAATCATCATCTTTTTATCAAGCAATGGAAGGAGAGCAGAGTCAAGTCTATGAGAATCTAAACCGTGAGACTATCAATGAGGACAATGTATATGAATTTTCTCAAGTGGTAGTTACTGAAGAAAGGAGGGCTGAAGAGAGGAGAGCTGAACAACCTGAGAATATCAAGAAAAGGAAACCAAAAACGTGGAATAAATCAATCATCCATACAGTATTACTGTCACTGATAGTAATACTACAGGTTGGTATCCTTTGCTTGCTACTGGCTCAAATGTCTACAAGAGATACAACATGTACTACTGGAGCTACTACTGGAGCTACTACTGGAGCTACTGCTGGTAACAATGAATATCCTAACTTCACTCAATGGGCTAATGGTATAGTGTCTAGAGTTAACCAGAGCCTTCCTGACTTTAATGAATGGGCTAATGGTATTATCTGTAAAGTTAGTAGCAATGTAACAGGGAGCCTTCCTGACTTCAATGAATGGGCTAATGGTGTATCACAAAATACCCTTCAACTATTTCAGAACAATACCAACTTCACTGAACTTGATAAACAAATCTTACAAACTACAAGAGATTCTGCACAAAAGCTCATTAACATTGTCAATATTCTCTCTAATCTACAAGACACCAGTACTTCGACTGCAGGAGTAGTTGATGATACATTTTTGTCCATTATACACCTTTTATTGTTACATAACTCATCACTTGGTTTGTCAACATCATGTGAGCACATCAAAACCCTAATACCTACCAGTCCATCAGGTTATTATACTTTGGGTAATGGATCAACTACTTATACTGCTTACTGTAATATGGGAACATTGTGTGGTTCAGGAGGAGGATGGACAAGACTAGCATATCTGGATATGACTGATGCTACACAGAACTGTCCTTCTGGGTTTAGACTGTACCAGTCAGGAGGAGTTAGAGCTTGTGGTAGAAATAGCAGCAGTGGTGGTTGTGTATCAGTTCAGTTCCCATCTAATGGTATCAGTTATTCTCAGATATGTGGTAGAGTAACAGGATATCAATATGGTCACACTGATGGCCTGCATTTTTGGAATAATAATATTGATGATAATTATCTTGAAGGTATTAGTATCACTCGTGGGTCTCCTCGTCAACATGTCTGGTCACTAATTTCTGGTATTAGTGAATCAAGCTCTGCATCAAATGCATGTCCATGTAATAACGACAGTACAGTATCAGTGCAGTCTTTTATTGGTAATAACTACTTCTGTGAATCAGGTACTAATGCTAGCTACCCATCTAGTATTCTCTACACATCTGATCCACTCTGGGATGGTGAAGGTTGTGATTCTCTTGAATCACCTTGTTGTAATGTTCCTGGTATCCCATGGTTTCACAGAGACTATGGTAGCAATACCACTACTGACTATATTGAGTTGAGGGTCTGTGCTAGCGTTAGTTCTGAAAACATTCCTGTCAGTAACATTGAAATTTATGTCAAATAACTCAGTGATTATAGTAGTGTGGTAACATTAGTAGTGAGTGACATGTAATACCTTATTGTGTCATCAAGAGTGTTGTCATTAATTAGAATAATGTGTTTGTTTCATAATTTAAAGAGTCAAAAGTTTGTGCATGACACAGCCGAATGAATAATATTACCATATCAATAACAACTAATAAAATGCATACATATCAGTGTGTGAATAAATAATTTTTTACTTAATTACAATTAGTTAATCATAAAAACACTACCTTAAGTATTGTCTATGCTTAAAGCCACTATGACTATTATTTAATGTCATGGAGTACATCTCACAGTGAGAGGAGATTATTATTATTGGAGTCACAATTTTAAAAGATGCATCAAACACTAATGGACCAGAACCTTGTAATTTTAAATATTCAGCATTGTTCTTATATACAATACCCACTCATGACATTCTACCAAATAAGTGATTATTAGTTTTAGGTCATCATTACTTTAATTGAAATAGTTGCAATAACTATTCATACAGCTAGCTAACAAGTGTATAGTCTCACATTAAAATATGAACTTAATAAAATCAGTTTATTACTGATAGTTAATGACTCTGAACATTATAGATAGTTTAGCAATAGTCATCATCCTCTTATCAAGCATAGGAAGGAGGTGAGCAAAGCCAAGCCTATGAGAGCCTCAACTGCAACAATATCAATAATGAATGGTCAAGGTTGTGGTGGCATTGAATCACCTTGTTGTAATGTTCCTGGTATCCCATGGTTTCACAGAGACTATGGTAGCAATACCACTACTGACTATATTGAGTTGAGGGTCTGTGGAGATTATCATTCTAATGCTGCAGGAGGTGAAGACAGTCCTGTTAGTTATTATGAGATTTATGTTAAGTAGTAAAAGTTATGAATTGTGACAGTTATTGTAGTAGTTTATACTGTTTGTCACTATGAGTATATTCACTATTAAGAGAATGCAAGGCATGTATACTGTTGCTACTAGGAGTAGTTTCTTATTCTACAGTCAATTCCAATTATAGTAACTATTATAGTTTGAATTAACACTCTAGTTGCCCATGAGTAGCAGGCAAGCAAGGGTATACTACTGCAGTCATTTCCATCAGTCAGTGCATTCATTACTTGTATACTTCAATAACTGTAAAGTGTACAGTCACCATAAACTAATATCCTAGTACTATAGGAGGAAACTTTAAATTGGTGGTGTTTAATATCTGTGATTCTGATGTATTTTGGTGTTTTCATATTACATGTACTAATATTGTCACTAATATGTGTCATTGAACATGCTCAACATAGAATTGTCAATTGCCAAAATAAACTCACATGTACCTAACACAAGCAGTAGAGTTTATATATTCTTTATATTGTCAAGTCCCTATTTATGTGTATGGGAAAAATTACATTTTAGTAATAAATTAGATTGCAATAGTTACAGTGCATTAGCAAGTACATATAAAGTCAATCTACTAGTACTAGTAATAGTTAATTAGTCTGAACATTATTTAGTGATCAGTGAATTAAGTGAGTTTGTACAAATACGGGTCATTCGTCTAACTATTTTTAAAGTTAATCTTCATGATAGGGGGCAAAGCCACTTCAAGTAATGTTTTACATTCATCAAGTAGTTTAGCAATAGTTGTCACTTTATCAAGCAATGGAAGGAGAGGAGAGTCAAATCTATTTTGTATCACCATTTTACCATTTTGTAACCATTTTACACAATTCATCAAAGACCAATAGAGTATAACCTCATAATTTAAGTATCCAGCCATCATTCTCAGTTATCAGTATACAATACCCACTCATGACATTCCACCAAATAAGTGATTATTAGTTTCAGATCATTACTTTAATTGAAATAGTTGCAATAACTACTCATACCATTAACAAGTGTATAGTCGTATGAACTTAATAAAATCAGTTTATTAATGATGGTTAATGACTCTGAACATTATAGTTTAGCAATAGTCGTCATCTTCTCATCAAGCAATGGAAGAAAGACAGAGTCAAGCCTATGAGAGCCTGAACCGTGAGACTATCAACAAGGACAATTCATATGAGCAGTGTCAAGTGACAGCTACTGAAGGAAGAAAACCAGAAGAGCCGGCCAAGAATATAGAGCAAAGGAAGAAGAAGGAGCTAACGTGGAATAAACCAATCATTATTGTCATCATTATTGTATTACTGTCACTGATAGTAATATTTCAGGTTATCATCTTTTGCTTGTTAGTAGCTCAAATGTCAACAAGAGATGCAGCATGTACTACTGGAGCTACTGCTCAATGGGCTAATGATATAGTCGATAAAGTTAACAGCAATGTAACAGGGAGCCTTCTTGACTTCAATGAATGGGCTAATGGTGTATCACAAAATACCCTTCAACTATTTCAGAACAATACCAACTTTACTCAACTCGACGAACAAATCTTACAAACTACAAAAGATTCTGCACAAAGGCTCATTAACATTGTCAATACTCTCTCTAATCTACAAGACACCAGTACCTCTACTGCTGGAGTGGTTGATGATATACTACTAATAGTATTACAACGGTTAGTACTACAAGAAAATGAATCGTTCACCTCATGTAAGGAATTAAAAGGCCAATACCCAATCAGTCCATCAGGTTATTATATACTGGCATCAAATAATGGTTCAGATGATTATACTGCTTACTGTAATATGGGAACATTGTGTGGTTCAGGAGGAGGATGGACAAGACTAGCATATCTGGATATGTCTGATGCTACACAGAACTGTCCTTCTGGGTTTAGACTGTACCAGTCAGGAGGAGTTAGAGCTTGTGGTAGGAATATCACTGGTGCTGGGTGTGCTTCAGTTCAGTTCCCATCTAACGGTATCAGTTATTCTCAGATATGTGGTAGAGTAATAGGATATCAATATGCAAGACCTGATGCCATTGATAATAATAACGGTATCAATTCTTATTACGTTGATGGTGTTAGTATCACTCGTGGGTCTCCTCGTCAACATGTCTGGACACTAATGGCTGGGGAAAGTGAATCAACTACTTCCCGTTCATGTCCATGTAATAATGGTAGTACAACATCAGTGCAGTCTTTTATTGGTAATAACTACTTCTGTGAATCAGGTACTAATGCAAGCTTACCATCTAATATTCTCTACACATCTGATCCACTCTGGGA